ATGGCCGTTAGTCCAGTCCTTACTGTAATTAATACTGCAATTACGCGTTACTAGAGTCCGCCAGAGGGCGTTATTACTCGCTCAACCGTCCACCGCTAACTCTAATCTCAATACTGGAATTGTATATCGATTGTTCTGGAACGCGGTGTTGCCAGAAGTGATCTGCTGATGATCAGATAATAATCATATTTTTCCTCACTGTGAAAAAACAAATGGTGATATTTTTGCATTGACGTCACTACTGCGATGTTGCCAAATTTAATGAAGTTTCCATGACTATAACAATTGAACTTCGTCTTTTAGTTTCAACAGGCAAATTGTGATTTGTTTGAAGGTGGTTTTCGTTCGCTTTTATGTAAAATTGCAGCATGGCAATAATCAAAACGTTTATTATTAATGAGAGATAGAAAAGCTTTCTAATCTTTTATGTACTCTTTTGAATAGTGGTGTATTTTGATAAATGCAAAGATCACATTAGTTATGTTGATTATACTGTTTGTTTAAGATAAAACTGTTTCCGTTTTAGAGCTCATCAGAATGATATTTTGAAATATTGAATGTTTGAAAAGAACCGCAGTTCACCAATTTCGTTTGTTATTTTTTCTGGCGTTACTTTGCAAGGTATTGAAAACAAAACGGAACTTAACTCGAGAAAAATTACCCATTCTCGTTCACTGTGCCACAGTCGGCCATATCTTTCCAATATCGGACCTACACTGAACCTATCAAGTCTATCAAAAATCATCAAAGGACAAAATATCCTTAGAATAGTTCAAGTAGTAGCCCCTTAAATTTGTCCCGCATGTTTCATATTTTCGTATTTTGGCTAAAAGAACCACTTTAGAATCAAAAAATGATTTTAAGGCCAATTTTTCACTTTTCTTACTTTTACTTTTCATTTAACAGAGTTGTCGTTTGTTTTGTTAGCCTGTATTCAAGCTACCAAAATAAAAAAAAAACATATTCAGGATAATTATAGCACAGGTACTATAATTTTTAGCCTCTTATGCTCCATCATCAATGTTTCATTTATTATTTTCATCAATGGGTTTTTGCTAGCCCAGCTGTTGAAGTAACCAAAAAGAAATCCTTCATGTTTTCGAAAATTTCACTTGCAATAATGTTAGGGTAATTTTAAATTTCTTTTCAAAAGATGTTAGAAACCGTCCGATGAATTCAAATATGGCTAATCTGACAATATAGTGGCCATTAGGATCTGCCAGCATTCGACAGAGAATGTTTCAAATGCATATTTTTCGAAGAAACTATATTTTGTTTGGCTGTGTAATGTGCATGAAGAATTCACAATGTTCGAAAAAGATTATCCCGTCTTCTTGGAAATAATCAGGTACATCAGGTACTCAGTATAAATTGTCCTTTCGTCAAGAATGGGATTTCTGTGAAGAGAAAATGCAGCTCTCTTAACTTATCCTTCGATAATGTACTCAATAATTGAAGAGATTATGGGCTAAGGTATCTAAAGTTTCAGCTTGGGAGCATTGACAATTTATAAATTTCGAATTTATTTGAAAAATGATCTGTTCGTTTGTCAGTAGTAACCATATATACACACTTCATTCAGTAATTGTTTCGTGTTTTTTTTGCAAATCTTTCCCATTATTTTATGAAAAGTGGGAAGCTTCTGTAAAAACGAGTAAAAAAATAGTTTTTTCAAATAATAATCCATCCAAAACATTGTCGTTGTCAAAACACACGTCATTAGAACAAATTGTGTTCTAATGATGTGTCATTTGTTCATGCAGATTGAAAATGAACATATGTTGGTCAAACTTACCTAGCAAGACACACTCGATTCAAAGAGCACGCCTCACATACAAATCTTTTCGGTTTGCGCTGAAATCGGATTTTTTGAGTACATCGGTTCTCTTGCCATTTCCACCTCCTCCCCGAAATCTAATCATCTTGTTTTCCCGGAACGCCGAAAAAGTCACTCTACAAATTGATTAGGTATGCAATAGCCGTGTCTAGCACGAACCACGGCGAAAATCAAAATTGAGAATTCAGAGAGAAGAACGAAAAACATGCAAACTCATCGAAACGTGCGTGAGACAAATGCCAATCGTCTCGGCAGTGGCGTAGGCGCCACGCGTGATTGGAATATCGTCGATTGTTTTTAACACGGTACGACGGTTCGATTCGAACGATCTAGTGGAAGTCTATTGTGTCGGGTTTTGATGGCTTTTGTCGGTAATTGACGTGAGAAGTTCAATCAGGTACTGGATACGGTTCCATTGTAGGGTTTAGAGTTATCGTGATTCATACAGAGTGGTTAATAATTTTGAATCAATGATATTTCAGCTGCAATTATAATATTCTCATATTTGTCAACAGAACTGCCTTGGAATTTGTTTATCTTCAGTGCACAAGTCCAGCCAGATGGATACTTAATATGCTGGTAGTAAAAGTTGAGGTGACAGTTCAATGGAACTGAGGTTACCTTTGCACCAAATTGGCATTTTTTTGATAAATTTTCTCTGGTTGTATACAAAATAACTTCATTTCGCTCTCAGGTTTGAAATTTTGATGTAGATACCAGAAGAAAGTGGTACACCAAAGATAAAATTAGTTCAGCATGTGGGTATTACGACTACGACTCACTTTAAACGAGTACTTATAAGATACAGAACATAATATCGTTTCACTAATCAGTTATTCATATCAGACGAATATATAATGTCTTGATTGCTGTAGCTATTCCTATATTATAAACGGAAAACCATTAGTATTGATTGAAACGTGAATAATAGATTCACTGTAATTTAGAATTTAGCTTGATGAATTTTTTGTATATGAAAGAAACACTAAACCAAACGTCAAAGTAACATTGTCTTCAGATTAGATCTAAATAAGTCGATGAATTCAAGAAATGTATAATTTTCAGAAATGTGGTCCAAAAATTGGTACTAACAATTCATGCATATTTTTTAACTGCTTCGAAAATTTATATACCAGAAGTACAAGAGGCAGCAAAATTGCAGCTAAAGTTAATAAAACTATTAATGATTCACTAGTTACTGAAATAATAATAATAATAGCTTTATTGTCCAACAGTTACCCATTTACAGGACAATATAAAATTATATTCACAATACTTAACCATAAACAACGAAAAATAAAATGAACAAAATGAAAAACCAATTCTAATTACCTACTTTGCATTAGATTTGCAAATCTAAAGATGTTAGTAGAGGTTAGTAGAGAATATATCACAATGGGAACAAATACTATTGAAATTCATACATATAACATATATTGGAGAATTGAGGATAATGTTAGTTCTTGCTCTGAGAGGTCTAAAAATGGACTGGCCGTGGTACATTGAAGTGTATTTGATCCAAAATTTTAGGACAGTCAACTCTCTCTAATTTGAATAAAAATATGAGCGACGCATATTTTGTGAGATGCTCTAAACTAAAAAGTTCCAAACGTTCATATATCTCTCTCAGGGTAAGAATCCTCTATTCTGAAAATTAAAAATTTACAGAACTTTCTTTCAACTTTCTTTGAACTTTTTCAATGGCTATGTTATGAATCTCATAGAACGGACTCCAGACAATATTTGAATATTCTATCTTCGAACGTAGGTAGGTGAAATAGCTTCATAGCTTCAATATTACGAAAGTTTATGCAATTTCTAGCAATGAAACCATAAGGTCTTAGAGTTTCTGAAACTTTTTGTGAAATATGTCTACCAAATGTCAGCAGATCTGAATCCTGTATTACATCAATTCACCTCTGCAACACATTGAGTGATTGTTACAAGATTGGTGGTGGTTGAATGTCCTTTCATGAAACCGTGTTGATTTGGGGCTAATAATGTTGCTGACATGACAATAGATTGTCTTTTCAAGAAGCATCTTAAATACTTTGCAAAAGTTGCATATGAAATTGGTCTGTAATTTTTCATCTCACTTTCATCTCCTTTTTTAAAAATTGGGCAGACTTTCGACATTTTCCATATTGATGGTACAGTTGATGTTTTCAGGCATATATTAATTAGAGTTGTTAGTGGTTAAACCAGAGCTGAGACACAATCTATAATGATGTGAAATATGATCAGGTTCCGCAGGGTATGATAAATATCTTCAATACTTCAAGTTTTTGATTACTAAGCTCTTGGTAGGACGATTACGGCGACTTTTTGATAAAACAATTTTATTATTTGCACGTGTTGGAGATTTGGCCAAAACAGACTGGTTAAATGACAACTAATTTGACAGATGTAGCTTCATCGTGAGGTCATATTTTGTTTTGTTTTGGAGCGAGGTAATGATGGTCTCAAAACGTCTCCTTTTAGGTTTCCAAATTCATTCATTCATTCCTTCATTGCAACACTTTGTTGATACTGTATAGAAAGGTATTATAAAACTACCATAAAGAGTTACTCATAACTCAACCATATTAATTTCATCTGATCTCTCACGAGTGGCAAGAAACAAACGATCCGTTCTTTTCCGAATTACAAAACTCTGCTCGACTTAAGGCAGCGTTTCCTAACCCGCCGCCTTGGCCGACTTTGATAATTGTGCCGATTGGGCATGCATCAGTGGTTCAGTTAGCGAAAATTATGAAAAAAATCATGAATTATCGTGAGTTACAATTACGGAAACCTCCAAACGAAGCGGTTGCGTGGAAGACACTAGTCATTAAATCGAAATCGAAAGTGAAGATTACACACGTAGAAGTCTCAATGGCTCATTAAGAGTTTAATTAGTTTTTATTATGTCGACCTTGACTCTGTTAATTGATGTGTTAGGAAATACGTTGGATTGTATGTAGAGTTTGTTTCACTTGTACTTTTATTCATGAATTTTAAAGCAGTATATTTGGGAATCGTAGCTGATTCTATTGATAATAGAAGTAGTATTCCGAATCTAGAACGCATTTCATTATTTTGCCCACGTGAAAACTCTAGCCAAATGAACTATCATAACTTGCCATTCGATTTGGTGATTAACCGTATTTTCTTCTTGTTACAGACGAAAAAGAACAACCCCAACCACATCAAGAGACCCATGAACGCCTTCATGGTTTGGTCCCAGATCGAGCGCAGAAAAATCTGCGAAGTCTCGCCAGATATGCACAATGCGGAGATTTCGAAAAAACTAGGCAAGCGATGGAAATTACTGAACGATGAGCAACGCCAACCCTTCATCGAGGAGGCAGAAAGGCTCCGACAGTTGCATCAGAAAGAGTACCCAGACTACAAATACCGCCCTAGAAAGAAGAGCACCAAACCTTCCCCCAAGACAAGCCCCAATAAGAAGGCAAAGAAGACGCTCAAATTGCAAAAGAATGACACGAATAACAATGCCACGGTGAAAGAAAAGATATTCGCCAGGAGGAGTTCTGTGCCAGAGACAGTCGCCTCGAAGTTGAAGTTCAGGCTGACGAGCACGAATAACATAGAACAGAGGGGTATGTCGGGAGTTGTGGAAAGCCAGGACATGCTGAGGCAGAGTATGCCCACGCAACTGCCCCAGGTGAGCTTTTTCGCCAAAGTCCCATCGAGCCCGTCCTGCGAGACTCCAGACTCACCAGAAAGCGCGACCATCTACGATGACTGGGTTAACAACTTCAGCGGGTCTATAGTGAAGGACGAGCCAGAGGACAGGCTCTCGCATACGCAACTCCCTACCACCATCGAGGACCTGGACAGGATCGACGACCTGCTGCACTTGGACGGCATCGATCTGGATGACTTCAGCTTCGAAACCGCCTCCAACAGTTCCGGCTCGCATCTGGACTTTGCCTGTCCTCGTGACATCCCTATGTTCTCAAATATAGACAGTCCCTGGGACGACATGCAAAACGGTGACTTTATGATACCTTGAAAGAGACGCTAAGACTGTTCTTTGAGATTTCTCTGAATGGAGGCACAATCATTGTTGAATCTTGGGGTACGTTACAGCCTCAGTTTATGATGATGGCTACATCGACAGTTTTTATATTGTTATAAATATTCTTAACCCCGATTATGATCTCATTTTGCGTTTATTATTTCGTATTTATCGTTGTACGACGTATTACCGGAATCTACCAGTTTTTAAACGAGCAGTCATTTTAGATTAGGTGTTAGGCAGCGGATAATCTTTTGGAATAGGTCTAAGTAGGGTGCCTACTCGCTGATCCAGTTGGGCCGTAATGATAAAGAAGGACGAAGGCTCGTTTGCCAAGCCGAAAGGCAGTAGTGCGTTCCCATACCCACGTAGTTATTGTAACCACAACAGCAATAAGCGCTATGTACAAAGTATACCTAAAATACCCATATATTCATATACGAGTAAGAAATATTGTTTGAACTTTGCTGACACTAATGGGTCCAATAACCAACCAAGATCTGCAAGTAGGTGCTCTGTTTAGCCACTTTTTGGCGTGTTCCGAATTGATTGGACTTTAATAGTGCCTAGCTCAGTACTTTTGTCACCGGCATGCCGGGATTAGTTTTCTACATTTTGAATACTGTTGACCTCATAACATGGCAACAGAACACAAAAACAGGCTGTGATTCATCTGTTTGATGACCAATATTTTAGTTGTCAAAAGTCCGTGTAGTCTTTTATGGTTCTGCCGCTGCTTTTTCATTATCAGTGTTATCGTTCTATTCCGTCAAAATAAAGGGGGCCAGTAACTGGACCTCTTCATCTTGGCGATTACTGTACGCTGTATGTGATGTGTTGGTGCATTCAACTGATTATTATTATTCGCCTGTGTAAATTTTGGAAAATTGTTTCACCTGGAACTAGGAGGAGAAGTTCACGCAGTTTCCTACAGCCTGAGCCAATCAGAATTAACCAACTTTACAGTTTCAACACATTAGCTCCTCCGTATTTCAATCATATATTTGTCTGTCCAGAATTGTACTTAAATTCGAAAGTCAAAGCACTGTGGGTGGTAGTAGATATAAATCGACGCGAATCGATTTAGAGTCGATACAAGTCGGTTTGATAAGTAGTAGGCTAGGATTGTTTGTGCAGCTGTCATCTGGGTTCATACACGCGCTTTTTGCAGAACGACGACTTTTCACAGGCAAACTGTAAACGATATAGACTAGACTTTCTGTAGCTCTGTGTAGCTACAGTCTTCACCACTCCCAAACTCATGTCCTGACCTAAAACTGCACAGTCCTACGCAACGTGAATTCCAAATATTTTCCAATTATTTGTACCAGTTGATCTGAAATTTTGGTAAATATTTGGGCTTCATGCCGAGGGTTTTTCATAGTTTTCAGAACGCTTCTCATTCTTCGGTTCAGCTCCTTTGTTGTCGAGTCAACGCACAAACAATAGTGTAAACAGTTCTAAAAAAGTTCAATATTCTAGAGTAGCGAGCAACATCGATATTCTTGTAATGAAAATTATGATATTGGAGGGCGATACAGTGGTCCTTCTCGTGCTTTCAGTGTACTAGAATAACTATTACTATTAGATGGGACTGTCCGTATATTATATATAAGAGTTTTGAAATTTTGAAATTTTAAGAGGCCTGCCTGTAAAGTATGAATAAAAGTAGAGTTAGTAAGCTGGTCAGAATGACAAATGCCCCCATATGAACCGGCACATTTCTGGTGCTGATCAGCTTATTTCGGTGTATTTTTGTACCCAATGATTGTTTATATGCGGGACGGTTGTAGTCTCTTTCAAGACGTACTGTTGACTGATTTAGATGTAGGTTTTTCTAGAGTACTGTGCTTACTGTCTCTTTTTTTCGCGATCGATCTTTGGTTTTGACGTCGTTTTGAAAACTAGGACCTTTCAACTGATCTCGCATCTGTACATAATCTGTAAAAATTGCTCATGTAAAAATTGTTTTTGTTGAAAGTACTGTTTATCGCGATGGCTTTGGAAAGTCGCAGAAAATGACTTTTCGGCGGAGTCCAACCTTGTCGAATTTACTGTCAACTGATCCTCAGACCAGTTGACTTTTTTCTTGCCCTCGATCTAGTCATTTTCTGGAGATTTTCCACCGCTCTCGCATATTATGCAATCATTTGCAATAAATATGTTTAGATCTCTGAAAGATTTTTGGTTCTTGAATTCGACTTGGACATTTTCGTGGAATGCTTCGATTCAAGACCAAGTGATTCACGGCCATTGGCGTACCCAAGAATTTTTCTCGAGGATTACGCCTCTGGTGATAGTCAAGCTGACGATTGTAAAAAAAATGTTGATTTGTCGCATTGTTGTCTTTTTTATTCTGGCGGACGAATTAAGAGATTAAAGTTAGCAATATTTTTGCATATTTACTACCTTGGTGTATCATATTTCCCCGCATTTTTGAATCCCTCATGTATTATATTCATATTACTATATTGAAGTTATTATATAGTGTGTAAATTTTGTATTGTACTTGCTGTTGAATATATTATTATATGGCATATGACAGTGTTTCCTTAATTAACTAGCTTCCTTCGCTCTAATATCGTATTTGAAAACGATATGAGAGTTAAATGATCAATGAAAAATGTTTCGCAAAATGGTGAAATTTATTTTGGAGCGATTCATTTTTGAACAATCCAATCTTCAGATTCAGGCAGATGTCAGTTAAATTCTCTCAGTTGAGAAAAACTTGCAAAATAGTTTATATTGGGAATCTAAAATCATCTCTAAAGTTGATTTACAATGAAAGACGAACCATGCCACTCCATTAATAACCCACCCATTCAGAGTAAAAGATACTGAAGGTAAGTGAATCTATTTATTATACATTATGAATCAATAAAATGACTTTGTAATAAAATGTCACCAAATTATAACTTTTTCGTACCTATTGAAACAATCATAAACTGTGTATCAGAAATAAAGTTATATCTGAGAATTATATTTTAATTTCTCTTGACGTGGTATCTCTTTTCAATAACATTCTTGTAGACCTATTGATCAGTATAATTAGAATAAAATGGGAAGTCATTTCAAACTTCACCACTTTACCCATATATTAATAGGGGAGCCCAAGCGGAGATTTCGGGATTAAGTACCTCCACCAAATATGAGCCCCATATATAATGCCGCCTGTGAGGGATAAAGGATCAGATTAGTAAAAAAAAATTGATCATCAAAAATTCTCGAGCGCGTCAGATTAAGGTAGGGTGAGTTAATTACCTGCTAAAAAGGGTATATTTCAGTAATCTGACAATTTGAGAGTGACGTAACGATAGGGGAGGGCAGCAAAATTGTAAAAAATAACGTCATTCCGACATTCTCGAGCGTAGCTAATTTTTTCTTATTTTGAAGGAAATAATTCAAGGATAACAAAAGGTATATAATCTGAGGATTTCCGCAAGCCGAAATAACAAATTTCGTCGATAAAGTTTAACGCATGCAGGTGTGTGATACCTGCCGAGTTTCTATTCCTCTATTCTCCATTCACTTTTTCTACATCTATTACTCTATCACTCAGTTCCCTCTCAGATTTCTGTTGCCATGCCGCCATCACAGCTGATTACAGAAACTCGTTCGTGATCAATTAATTGATGGATATAGCCGTTACTACGTGGTAGGAAATCATAATGAAGAAAAGAGAAATTAAACTTTCTTTTTTTCACCACTTTGTAAAAGTCCCATCGAGCCC